TATTGAAAAATAAATTTTGAAATAATTCTTTACTATTTTATGACTAGAATAATCTGACTACAGCAAATTTTAATTTTCATCGGATTTCTATTAAAACAAGAAATTTGCCTGTCAATGAACTAATCTTTGAACTTGCACCTTTTTTCAAACATTTTAAGCGGCCTAAGAGTAAAACTTTTTAATTTACCAGTACTTACATGTTACAAAATTAATAAATTGATATTAATTAATGAAGTTTCTAAGATATCTCTCAGTAAGGCAATTCCGTTGTCGAACTATATTTTACTAATAAAATGCATATCAAATTTCAAAAATAAATTTTAATTATAAATAAATTTTAAAATTATTTATTCAAAACTATTATATTTAACTATTTTCATAATATTGAAATATAAAATAAATTTCGTAAAAAACTATAATTGATAATAAATTTTATATTTTTAGATACTTGCTGTAATATTAATCAGTTAATTGCAACCCATAAATTATTATATAATTATTATTAAAAGTTACTAAAAATTATTAAAAAAATATTAAAGAAATCAGTTTTTCCATTACGATATTTTACTATCATTTATTATTTTTCTAACATTTACTTAATTTTTCTATGAAAAATTTGAAAAAAAAATATATATATATAAGAATTTCAGAAATGTCTAATTAAGCTTCACTATTTTTGACTTCCCAGGTGAGTTGTAGTAATCGCAAAAAAATCGGAAATGAAAGTTGATATATATATATATATATATATATATATATATCTTTGTTTCAAAACATTCTGATCATTTTGGAATACATTAGAAAAAATAGATGTACGCGTGTGTGGGTGTGTGTATGGATGTGCGGATACAATTTTTTGTCGACGATTTCTAAAACACGGATCAACCGATTTGAATGAATTAAAATTCGATTTCTCTTGATAAAAGACATGCTGACAGTTTTTGACCAAGGCAGGTCCAGCCGTTTCGAAGATACGGAACAAAAATGCCAAAAAATAGTAATTCAGATTGAGAGGACAAAGTGAACATTTGACTTGTATTGACAGAATGAAGAACTGAACAAATTTTTGGAAAGGCAGGTCTAGCGGTTTCGGAAATCTAATAAAAAAAGTAAAAAAATGCGGCGGTCAAAAATGATCATTAGACATACGCATATACAAACTATCAGATATTTTATAAAGATTTCAATAATAAATACAAATTCATATTTATGTTTCTATGGGTTCCGTATCAATGTTTATTCGTTAGACTACGCCTTCAATATTTCGTTTCTAAAACAGCTGCGCAGAGCGATTGCTTTAAAAAAAGTTAAAAATTTCAGATATAAAAATAATTCAAATTTTTAAAGTTTTCAAAAAATTCTAAAGCTTTTTCAAAAATCTTAATTATCGGTACGGAAAGTTTCAGCAATTTTCCTTAAGGCATGATGTAATGCACCACTAGTTGTGTACATTTTTGTACTATTCAAAGCCCCAAACAAATGTATTTTGTATTTGAAATAGAAGTAACACTGGCTACTTCTACTATTGTCAATTTATTTGTCATATTTAATCTAATTATATTATCTAATTATATTTTAATCTAATTAAATTTACTAGATGTCGATTAAAGAAGTTGTGAATTATATGGTAAAATTAAAAAAAAAAAATTCAAAGCATATTTTCTCTAACAGAACCGTCCTTGTATGAATGTTGTTATGGATGTGCTCCTATTCCGCAACTTGGAACTTTTCCCGCACGCGCTTATGTTACAGTAGCCCCGAATCGGTTTAGGGTTGAAGCAACCCTCGGCGCCCTCGCCGCCCGCGTTCTGCTTGCACTAATTACCCATTTGACCCGACACCAATTAGTAAATACAATAATGATGGATCGTGTGGCAATATAATATTCTAGCTTTAGCTTTCCACCGAGCACGAACGTTTATTATGGGATATCCCTAAATAATAGAACGGTTGAAACAAATCACGGCTGTTTTATGCTAAAACAAAAAATAATATTGACTGTGTAATTTATATTCTTATAATTAACTGCAAATAACACTGCAAAAATGCTAATTTTTCATTATTGACAGTATTCAATAATAGCTGTCAACAATAATTTTTTAATTTTAATTGATGGTACAAATGTCTCAAGTGTCAGTATTGACAATGGATCAGATTCATTAATCAATATAGATATTTTTTCACTAAGATTTATAACTTATTATGCACTTCTAAATACACATTTTATAAAAAATCATTTTTTGCCTATTTACCTTAAAAGGAGTTTAAATTAATGTGATTAATTAATTTAAACTCCTTTTAAGGTCTCATTTTCATATATTATTGTCACCTTGCTAAGTTAGTACAAAATTGAGGATAATTTTGTAATGTATTTACAAATATTAATGATCAAATGCTTACATATATTGATCAATTAAAGTTTCTTTTAAATTTATTATTTATATATTGATGGACTCAAAGATTTGATTGTTTTCAAAATTGATTAGTTCAAAATTATTTAGCAGATTTTTTTTATATCTAAAATGTTTAATTCAAACTTTTTCATAAAGTTGATTAAAAATCGATCTGTTGATTTGTGGATATGAAAATACTTTTAGCAATATATACGCGCTTTAACAAAATAACAATGGCTGTTATTTATGTATATAATTAATTTTGAATATTTTATAATAGCAAATTTTTCAATTATTTTAATATACTTATACATAAAACAAGACTGAATCCTCTTATTTTCATTAAAATATCATTTTCCTCATAAACATTGAATGCAATAATTGTTACATGCATATTATTTGAAAGAATAATCACATATCTGAACGAATTGATCTATTCTTTTGAGATGGGCGTATTTTATTATGTTATCATATAAAATATTTAAAAAAGAAAATATATTTAAAAAAAATGTATAACGTCCCTCCGTCAGGTTTTCTGTCAGAAACAACTTTTTATGAAATACAATATTAATGGTGACAGAATATTAAAAAACTTTTAAATTTAAAAAAAAATAAATATATAGGAAATTGAAAATAAAAAATTATTCACCTACAGTGTTGATATATATTTTTTGTCAAAAGCATTTATAAAAGGAATTATTTAAGAATATTTTAAAATTTTGATTTCAATTTGCGTGGTAAATGGTTGTAAATGAATAAATATATTAAATTTATTCTAGAATTATTAGCTAAATTGTAGATCCATATCCACGTCGTAATAAAAATGTTGAAGCTACGCCAACTAAATAACATTAGCGGTCCAAATTAAAATATAAAAAATAAATTGACTTTACTTAGTGTATAATTTCCCTAAATAAATATCTATTAATATTCAATTTAAATTCAGGTACAATACTTGACGATTATATTTATAAATTCACTATCAGCTGTCGTTGTCTTCGTCTGTCTGCTGCATGCACCGATTGTATGTAGTAAAATTATATTGTCGAATCGAATTAATATTGGATTGAATTCTAAAGTGACTTTGATACATTAGATATGTACGTCGCAAAGACCCCTTTCGGGAATTTTCATGAGAACCACGACAAAACGTGGATCTTTTATTTATCGTCCGTCCGTAAGAAAGCTAAGGCATATGTAATTATATTTGTTAATAACTGTATTGCTAGATTTTAGTGTATAATGATATTCAAGCAAGGTATTATTTAGTGAACGGCAACTTTTTAGGTCTCTATCGTAAGAGGCTTTAGATGTTACTATTCATTAGCCGATAGTCGTGCATATGTGAACTATGATCTACTTCTTTGATGAAAATAATAAAAGGAAGTATAATAATACCAATATAATATATTATAAAAACATTTGGACCAATCAATTTTGGACGAGCTTAAATAATTATATAAATATGCAAAAACAGCATAGCCTCTTTAAGGGCGATTTTTAGATATTACGCATATTACGTTATTGATCAATTTTGACACCGAATTTTTGTTATTTTACAGCAATCCAAATTATTGCATATTCTTTAAACTATATTAATCACTATTTATTACTATGAATGACTTTATTAGTAGAAATGTCATTGATTGTCCTTACTACCTAAGATGTAGTTTATTCTTTTAAAGACAACCCGACGCTTTTCTGATAGTGTTGTTGCATCAATGCTCCGAAGTGCTATTTTTATTTTGAAACGTATTGCGATCTATATTTCGAAGTGAAATCCGATGTCACTACTGCTTGACATCAGGCTGCCCGAGATGGGTATCAAACCTGCAACTACCGATTGAAATCACATAGCTCAAACAACTAATTTACTCAAGCTCAAGACTAAGTAGATCTTAATTTACTATCAGCGAGCTAATTTTGTAGGTAGAACATAAACTCCATGTTGAACTCAACTTACACCAAAAAGAAATACTGTACGTGTGTTTTTAGTATTTCATTCTGGTGAAATATTAGACGTGACTTATAACACTTCCATACTTTTTTTATTATTGAAACCTATGTCTGGCCGAGTCTCAGAATAATGGTACTACCTTATTGATTAATTTTGATGTCAATTAGATTAAAAAAATTGCCAATTTTGAGTTAATTTTGTGGTAATACATGAATTTTATAACAAATCTTGTTCCTCAGTAATTTTGTACTACTTTGTTTTTATAGTCATATTTAACAGCAATCAGTTTGAGTTTCTCCTTAAGTCGGATCTTTTTAGATGGTAACTGAACGGTTAATCCATCATTATTATTACATTTTATCTCACAGGGATACTAATTTTTAGTACTCATTTCATTGCCACTTCGATGAAAAGTAAATTAATTGTACGTGATTGCATTTTAAATGTACGTTACATAAAACAAAACTGCCTAGGGATGACTAAATATGTATTCGTTCTATACCACCGCTTGTCAATTTACACAAGCTTGTACGTTTGATTTTAATAATTCAACTTGATGAGGTATCAGGCTTTGCATATAACACTTCCCTTGAAATTTTTTATTATTAGGACAAATGCTTGATTATTTAAAATTATTTAATTATTCTAACCTGTGTCTGAGTAAGTCCCAGGCTGGCTGCAAGTTCTGCTCGTTCAGGCAACGCGAGGTACTGCGTCCGTTGAAACCGCCGATTCAACTGTTGCAGTTGAAGGGATGAGTATATCGTCCGGGGTTTGCGCATTTTCTTTCCTTTACCGTTGACCCTTAATCCACCATCATCACATTTTTCTGAAAAATAAGAGAACAATATTTTATATAAATTTCATACCGATCGTAACATGAAAATTGATTTGGAAGACTGTGACTACAACGCTCATCTGCTCACAAATATTTCTGTACATTGGATCCAAGTCACTACATAATTCCTCTACAATTTTTAATATTTAATTAAGTTAAATTTAGCATTTAACACATTACTATAATTTATTTTTATTGCAAATCCAATGTCAAAAGTATATACTGTCATTTCTTAAAATACTATTTTATTCAACAAAACTGTTAGTAATTTAAGTAACAATTAATTTAAGAACATGGGATTAATACTGTGTAAATGGTTTGTTTTTACGTACCGACCGACGGCATTCTTAAAAGTGAAGTCAAATCATTTATAAGTACAACTATTCTAGGATGAATTATTTTTGGACGAGTATATATAAATTTCTCCTGCTTAGTATAAAACTGTAACTAAAAATCAGAATCATTCATACAATCGATATGTCATTAAAATTATATACTATGGCCAACTTGTGCTGCCACAACTTATTAATATACTAAAAAATAGTTATTATTTGCGAATCAATAAACAAAATATACCACTGGCTATCTTCATATAAAACGTACAATAATTTTATGTTCGACAAATACAAGCATGACTTAACTCCTTTAAATTCTTTTCAAATTTTTATATTATCTATCCATCATCTTGTTCACACTTTTTTATTTTTATGATGATGATTCCAGTTATAGTTTATATTTATCTTATTGTTAGATTACTTTTTGTATATGTATATATTTGAAGAGCAATCAGAATAACAGCTTTATAATCTGTTAAATTTGTCATTTTTGTAAATGCCTGGCTTTTCAAAAGGTAGTCATTGATTATTCCTAACTATTGATGGACTTATATATAAGCAACCCAATGATTGTCCTTTTCTAATAGTGATAATAAATAAATAAATAGTAGTCTGCCCAAAGGCAGGTCCATGGCATAAGAGCATCACAAAGCAATGATTCCCTTTCCCTCATCTTATTATTATTCCCTTTAGCGCAAATCACTCTCTGTTCACTCTTATGAATTTTTATTTCCAAACTTGTGTTTCCAGGTTTTCTGATTGTGTGCTTCGTTTTTCAGTTCCCTGTATTTTTTTACGCGTAAGTCATCAACCATATACATTCTTCTTCTATCCAATCCTTTTAGTCCTTCTATTTTACCTTCGACGACGTCATGTAGAAGGCGCCCTTGTTGCAGAATGGGTCCGATCCAGTTTTCTTTCTTTGAGTGCTCAGTAGATATCTTTCTTTGAGTACTAGATCTTCTTCATTTGGTATCTTATCTATCCACTTTAGCTTCTCCATTTCTCTCCAGCACCACATTTCAAAACTCCAATTCTCGATTTCGATTTAGAGTTATCCCCATGGTCTCGGTCTCATCTCGTTTCGATATTTATCATTCTCATCATTCTAATAGTGATGATATATTTAACTCATCGTCATTGTCAAGCCGTTACCATTGTCACTAGTAAACACATTTTGACCGATTTTCAAGTGAAAATGAATATCACCACTGCTAGATAACACGTTGTCCAAAACGCAAGTTGAACCCTGAAAAATGTCGTTCTAAATCTAGGCGCTTACTATTGTGCCACGAAAAAAAGTCCTTATATTTATCTTATGTACAAGAATATGTATCTTTCCCCAATACAGATATTTTTAATTATTCAAACAAAACTCCATAAATATCATCTACGTAGATGTACGGCATACTCAATCGATGATTTATAGAGTAAGGCTGCATTTCTATTCCTTTTTATAGCTCTTGCATACAAGTTAATTGAATACTACATTATTACTTCATATAGAGTTAACCATAATCCTTGTTTGAAAAAAGATACTTAAAGATGTAATATTTGTTACATAATAATACAACGACGCTTCTACTAGACTTCAGTGTGCATCGCTTAACGACCATGATTTATTGCAGAGCCCGCAGTGGCGAGTCGCCGGTCTAATGTCTGCGGCGTGCAGCCTTGTGTGCGCGTGCTTTATTCACTCGACGAGATTCCAATCGGACTACCACGATGCAATTCCATTTCAATGATAAAGGATAGACTTGCATTCAATTGTCGTTAGACCTCCAATTGAGAAATAAACTTAAGGTAATTGATATCAAGTAGGAGCAATATCAGTTTTTGCTTGGAAATATAGATATTAAATATATTGTCAAAATTATCAAATTTGCATCAACCATTGGGTTAATATCTAAAAATCCGACGTAAAGTTTCGGCCAAACAGCTTATAAAACGCGAGAGTCTGATTGCTGTTAAAATATGGGAAAAAAGTTAATCTCTGACGGGTATAAAACTATCTGTAACGCAAATTTATGAACCGATTCTGCCGCATAACAGACCAATGTTATGACATTGCTATGATATCAAGAACTTTCCATACTAAATTTGACAAAAGCCATGTGGTTGTTGTGCAGGCAGGCGTTTTTTTGCGATTTATCAGATAGAAAACCTAACCTAGAAGCCGCAAAAATGCCAAGTAATCGATCTTAAATAACAGGGTCTTTCTGATCCAGTTCCATAACATACGGGTGACGTTGCAGTTTATGTGTAAAACGCCTGAATGCACAGCAAACACATGACATTTTGAAAGTATTCAGTATGATTCAGTAGCATAATGTTTGGAAGTTGAAGCGTAGCATAGCCTTGCCATAACATTTTTCTGTTAAGCGGCAGAATCGGCCCATTAGTTTCAATTCACAAATAGGTAAAGTTAGTTGACCAAATTGATTTTTCATAAAATTGTTGCAATTTAATGAAAATGATGCTTAAGTTTATTATTTAAGAACGTAAATTTTATAGATTAAGCAGAGATTTTATTATTACAGAAGTCACGCTGGTCAGTAAGTGTTTGGGCTGTATTTAAGAAGTTATCTTCAGATTCTGTATTATAACCACTGTCTAAGTCCACAATTCAATATAAAAGTATAGTTTGAATAAAGAAATGAGTCTAATGTGGTGTCATGATTCAGGCTTGTGCTTACAAGTCCCGGGTTCAATTCAACCCCGACCTGCTCGATATCAAGCAGTATAAAATCAAATTTAAACTCGATTTATTGCCTTTCATAAACATTGCTGCATCACATATATGCTAATACTATTAGATATGCATGTCTAATATATCTAGTCTACTCATAGAACAGAAAAGTAGTTGACCGATAAGTTGCTATTTCGAGAAAAAATACTGAGTTAGGATACACGATAGCAAACACAGCTCATAGACCATGTAGTTCTGACGATTATATATATTCTAAGTCTCGATATTTCATATATGTCTATCCACATCACTAACAATAGCCGATATAGAATTTCAAAAACCTGATGAAAATTACCATAATCAATCATCAACATGTATCATCCTTGTACAGTTGGCTAATAAAACTTAAGTAAATATGTGTCATTTTCTCTGAGTGGATATAAAGCAAGAAGGTTGCCAACCACTGCCCTAACTCAAGTAGCTGATACTCATTTGTTTTATTATCCTGTAATATTATTTTATGGGTCATAACGTGTACGGCAAGGAACGGGTGACTGCTAGCCGACTTGCCATTCATAGTTATCATTACACTGTTGAATATAGATGATGCCCACGAGATATTATTGGATTACTTCATTTAAAGGTCGTAGGAGGGAATTAATATATGCACGCGCTCAGATAAAAATCTTATATTTGCGAAGGTTTCAGAATTCTTAAAAATGACTAGCATATTTAGGGTTTGCCAAAATAAACTATTAGTAATTGTTCCTATTTCTATTCTATTTATGCCTAATGTTCTAGAAACCAAAGTCAAATATAATTATTTGCTTTTATTGACCCTGTTTACTCAGAGCATTTACCCAAATCTACTACTTTCTTTTTACACTATCTTTATTTTACCATATATGCTATCTCTATATGTCCTATCTCTATATACTATCCAATTATTCAATACTATCCAACACAAATATAGAAACGTGTAAATTTTTCTACCAGTATACCGTTAAAATTCATGATTAAAATAAAGATTTTAATTTTTGTCATTCCTTCAACACTTAAGAAATCCGAATGAATATTAAATATCACATTGTCAAGCCGTTGATGGATTTTAATTATACTTCTAACCAACCGTTGCGCAAAGACGAGCATTCGGCCGTGCTGAACAATGTATTCATTTTTCATCAACGGCTCTTGTATCAAAATTTGTGACATATCTACTGTCAAAAATTTAGACACCGACGATGCGACGGAAATGAAGAAACAGGGCGACGGCTCCTTCATGTGTGACCGACGAACATCATATGAGAACGAACTCTAGTAATAGACTATAGGTAAAAAAATTTACACAAAATGTGTATACATTATTAAAATCTCTATAAAATATCTGATAATTTGATGTACATATGTCCAATAAACATTTTTGACCGCCAAATGACATTTTTTAACTTATTTTTATTGAGAGTCCATAACCGCTGAACCTGCCTTCCCAAAAATGTAATCAGTTTTTCATCTTGCACTTCTTTTTAAGTGCACGTCTTTTTATCAATACGAATCGAATGTTTTTTGAATTATTCAAATTGGTTGATCGGTGTTCCCGAAATCCGGACACACACACATACATCCATCCATTTTTTCTAAGGTATGCCAAAATGTTCAAACACTTTTGAAACGTAAAGATATATAAAAATTTTCATTTTCGATTTTTTGGCGATTACTTCAATTTACTCTAAGGGAAGTTAATATTATATATATCTACATTTTAATATTTGTATAATTTGAATTACATTTATAATTTCTAACTACATCTAGGATAAGTTGTAGTAATCGCGAAAAAAAAATCTAGAATAAAAAAATGTATATATCGTTACGTTACAAAGGTTTCTGAACGTTTGCCACCTTAGAAAAAATGGATGGATGTGCGGATACAATTTTTCGTCGACGATTTCGAGAACACGGGTCAACCGATT